TAGGCATGGACCAACTTATCATTGAAATTTCACTTTTGAAGTGTTGACGCATTGTTCAGTTTAAGCTTAAGTGATATTGCTTTCGATTTTGCATTTGTCATTAAGAGATACGTCCGCACATTTTTTTCGATATCGCCAGCTTTACCTGGGGTGGACCCCTGGGCCAAGGTGATCTGCTGGCCGTGTTTGGAAAAATAACTTTTGCTCAAAGACATATACTTTGGGAAAAATTGTACAAATTCAGGATGTGATGTGCTTGATTTTACCGTGTATTTGCCTTTTCACCTTTTGCCTTCCTACTGAATGAAGCCCCTACATATGTACACTTCAGTTGCTTTCTACAATCAGGAAGATGATATGGCTGGATTAACCAGAGGAATTGTACATTATTTAAATAATTTTGTATATAATTTATTTGCCACACAGGATGAGAAATCATACATGTCAACCTTCCCTGGGTCTTTATTAGCAAACCAGAATCATGCTACAGTGTATATAGTAATGGGGAGTTGTGTGCAAAACACAGAACTCATTATTTTATTATTTATTTATTTTTTTTTACTTGGCTTTTCCGCTGACTCGGATTCAACAGATGGTGACCTAGATGAGCTGGTGGACGAACTTAATGAAGGAAAAATGTTGTATGCAGCAATTAAAGTCATGGATCCAAACACAAACCTTCCAAAGATTGTTTTCATAAATTGGGTAGGTCATCTCTGCAAATTATAATATTATTATAATAAGTAATTAATTTATACCAGGATAAAACCAGCATTTTTTGTCATGATTAATTTGTATTCATTCCTGTCCCAGGTCAAAATGCAAAATGGATTAATATTCATTAGGAGTATACGACAATGTACCTGCATGTACAGTGTTGTCGCAGAAATAAATACTAAAATAGTTGTGGTATATTTTGCATTTTTGACTCACTGCCCTTATAATAGGCCATATTCATATTCTCAGTACAGTCAAACCTCAATTATCTGGACTCGTTGGGACAAGACCAATAATAGTCCGGATAATTGAGGGTCTGGATAATCAAAAATATGAATATTAATGAAGAACAAAACTATTTAAATAAAGCAACATTTAATTGTGAAACAACACTTTTGCAAATAGTTTGGAAAACAATATGGTCTACCTTATATCTTGAACCACTCAACTCTGAGCCAATCAGAACTCATTCGAGTGTTCTTCATTAGTTACAAAGTGTGCGAGTGCTCAGCTTTTGCTCTTTAAAAGTAAAACAAACTCACTTTTGACTGCACTTTTCAGTGCTATAGTTTTAAAAAGAATATTGCTACGGATCTTGATCATGACTAATAAATATTCTTGACAAAATTGGGACTAGAGAAAAAGTTTGGATAGTCAAGAAATCTGGATAATCGAGGTACAGATAATCGAAGTTTGACAGTATCGGACTGTAACAAGCTTGCAATGAAGGCTCGTGTGCTGGACTTTCATTAAAAAGGGATTAATGTCATTTGCATTTGAAAAGACTCCCGACATTAGCCTCCTTTGCAAGCCACAGTGCATGTAATTCCAGTTCAAAACCGAGAACAAAAAAATGGTCTATTGCAGCACAAGGTACTGCACTACTTGAACATGTACATGAAAACTGATCAGTCTTGTTTATCTTAGCAAGGAGAGGGAGTGCCTTCCTCAAGGAAAGGGGTCTGCGCTAACCATGTCAGAGATGTTGAAAAGTTTTTCAGGGTAAGTTGTTCCCTTGTAGTAATGTTATGTACAATAACTTACTTTATTATGCAAAGTAAGTTATTTTAAAGAGCCATTCTTCAGCTTGCTCTCCTTTTTGGGGGCATTCTGATTATACGTTAGAACTTTGCATAACAAGGTTAAGTGAAAGACAAGTCTACCATTTGTTCATTTTGAAAAGCCATTCAGTCCACAGTTACTCCTACCCAACAAAAATTCAAAAGTTTAAGGGAGAAAATGTATTCGGTCTCGTCTGATGAATTGATGTTATTTTTCTTTTCATTTTTGTTGTATTTAATACTTTTTTTTCATTTTGGTAGGGAGCCCATGTAACCATCAATGCAAGATCTTCAGATGATGTTGAAGAAAGTATTGTACTTGACAAAGTTAAAAAGGCTTCAGGTATAACACACTGTACATGTAATAAGGAAATACTGGCTTGAACAATGTGTACTACGTGTCAGCATTTGACAATATCATCTCTCCATTCAGGTGCAAACTACAGTTTCCACAAAGAGAAGGCAAAACCTGCAGAACCCATTGCCCCAGTGGTAAGTGCATGTGCAAGCTAACTACATTTCAACCAGGTATTTCTTCTCACCCAGGCACTTCTTTTACGTAGAAAAGCATGTTCCATGTTTTTTCTCTATCAACTCGCATGTCTTTGAAATGAAGCTCCTGGTAAAATTTTACAAATGAATTTAGTGTCTCTTGTTTTTTTTCATCAGGGTTCTGTATATCAGAAAGTGAAGATTCAAAAGGAAATTGACGTTCAGCAACGAGATCAGTTCTGGTCCCAGTCTGAGGTAAAGTTTCAACAGACTTTTTATACAGATTACATGTTTGTCTAATGTGTAGTTCCAGAACCTCCCCCACGGAAGGGATTTTTTTGTAAGACCCCCCACCCCTCTGGAAATTCCAATTAGGTTTCATACATTTCTTTAAATTTTTTGGTCTTGCAGAACCCACTACCTCCCAGGAAATTCCCATCCCTTCTGTGGGGGGAGTATGGATATCTTCTGGAACTGCATAATGGTCCACAGTGCATATTAAATGTTGTTTTTGTTTAGATTTGGCTTGATTTTGAAATTTATTTTGTAAACCAGTTTCTGTTGATTGTGTGAAGGTACTGTATTGATGATGTCCAAATTTGTTAATATGCACGTTATGTGGTCTTGTCGTTGAACATGCACACATATATCTTGTTAAAGATACACTTTTTCTTTTATATATGTTTATATTTATATTTACTTGGATATTTTCAATGGTGTTATTATATTTTTTAATGTTAAATGTAATTAGTGTAGTTAGTCATTGTTCCTGCTAGAAAAGTTTCATTGAGTAGGCAACAATAAAGTATACACATGTACTAGACGTATGTATTTCCATGAAACAAATTAACATTGACCATGAAGTCAAGTTACTACATGCACAAACATGTACATGTACATGTAGTTAGTCAAATGAAAATATTTACAGTGTCCCAAACATTTTATTCAACAGGAAAACGAGAAGAGAAGAAAAGAGCAAGAACGAAAACAAGCCATTGCAGAAAAGAATGAAGCAGAGAGAAAAAGAAAAGAGAGAGAGGTTAGATGACCATGCAGTTTTACTAATTCACTCCAGACCTACAGCGAGAAATTTCTTTTGTGACACATATAGTACATCGACAGTATACTATTAATTCATAAAATGTGGGGTCACGACGTACGTCTTTCCATATGATGAAAAGAAAGTATTTTCATGTTGAAAGCAACTAGTGAATCATCAGTTACAGACAACTGGAAGATATCCCATGCAGCTTTAATGTTTATTAAACTACGTAATGCACATAGCAAGCATTACAAATGACAACCTACCAGAAGTAACTGACTGACTGATGGACGGACAGACAGACAGATGGATGGACGGACAGGCTGACTGACTGACTGACGGACGGACTGACTGACTGACTGGCTGATGGATGGAAGGACAGATGGAGGGACCGACAGAGAGACAGACGGATGAAGTGACAGACAGACAGACTGATGGACAGACAGACAGACGGATGGATGAGGGAACAGATGGATAGGATCGATGGAGAGACAGATGGGCAAATAAATTGATTGATTGATTGACTGACTGATTGATTTCAATATCCAAGGCAAAAGAGGCTGAAGCAAGAGAGAAGCAATACAGAGAAAGATCAAGGAGCATCGAAGAACAAAAGTAAGTGACTTTCATTCGTTTAGTCATTGGAATTTCAGTGGAATTGGAAATTTGAATTGAATTGTGTAGTTCAATCAGAAGTGGAACTTGTTTTGTTTATTGTTTTTGATACATGTAAATAATAAAGACATAGCTTTAATTAATTTGTCGCATTTTGTCACTGAACAATATCAATACATCTAGGAAGAAACAAAGAGAAGCAGAAGAAAAGAAAAAAGAGGAGGAAAGAAAACGATGGGTGAGGATTTTTTGTTTATTCTGTAAAAAATGTCTTGGACTGAAAACTATTTTCAGTATAAGAAAAATGACAACTTTAGTTAGTATTCATTATTATTGTTTATTATTATAATTTATTATTGGCAAATTATTTATTATAATAACTTTCAACAAATATTAAGTGACTTTCATCAGGTGATACTTTCTTGTCTTAATTGTCATGTTGTATTCTCACTTTAGGAGCACCAACAAGTGGAAGATGAAAGGGAAATGGAACAAGAAAAACAAAGATCAAATTCCTTACGGCAGGCTCGGTTAAAGGTATGGTTTCCAGTTACATGTAGGAATAAGAAGAATCTTTGGTCTTTTTATATGTGTACTCTGCACTTGGAGGGAGGCACAGTGACTTTGGGATTAATGCAGTTGACTCCAGATTGAGCAGTCTGGGTTTAGGCTCTGGCCAGGAACATTGTGTTGTGCTCTTGGGCAAGACGCTTAACTCTTACAGTACCTCTGTCCACCCAGGTGTATTAATGGGTACTGGCAAATTTAATGCTGGGGGTAACTCTGTGATGGACTAGCATCCCATCCAGGTGAGAGCATAGAAATACTCCTTGTTGCTTCTTGCTACAGAAACCAGAGATAAGCACTGGCCTGATAGACCACTTGACATGAACTTGTATACAGACTTTACCTTTTTTATTCTGTTCTTGGTCCAACATTTCACCGAGAAACTAACAGTCTACACTAGTCTTAAAATCTCCAACTTGAGACATTATGTAACTGGTTGGTCTGGTTATTGTCAGGAAGCAGAATCCCTCATTCGTCAAGGACAGGATGAGAAACCCAGATTCCAAGAAAGGACAGGCCCTCCAGCCCCACCGACTAAGGCAAGGCCACCAGCTAGAAAACCACCCCCTCAAGTGCAGCGACGTCAACCAGAACCTGAACCAGAACCAGAGCCGGAACCAGAGGTGGAGCCAGAACCAGAGCCCCTTCCTACTGAGGTACTGTAACTGTATATGACAGTGAGCAAAAGACATGATCTCTTAGGTCTCCCTTGATAAACCATCACAATTTTCTAAAACCAGAACATGAAGTCGATTGTTCAATGTGGTGAGCAATAAATTTGGTTGTGGATACTTTTGTCCCTTAAGTTGATAGGACTGAAAGAGACCAGAATTCTCATTAAAGGGGCTATGTTATGGTTTATATATTAATTTTTTGGTCATGTACAAACTATTTTACCTTCAAATCAAGGAAAATTTCAAAAGAAAACCAACTGAAGGGTTTTTTAGGTGAAAAAAAACTTCAGAGATAATGATTTAAAAGAAATAAAAACATATGTAAGGAATGTCATGTTTGAGGCAAATATCAAGGTGGCCTCCACTATAAGCCTGTTGGTGATCTTTTTTTTTTTTCTTTTGAGGTCTTCTGGCCCTATTAAAATTGTTGCTATTGCATTACTAATTTTTTTATTGTGGTGAATCAAATGATGATGATGATGATGATGATGATGATGATGATGGGAAAGTTGAAAATATAATTATATGCCAGAAACTATATAATGCAGGCTACATTTTTCAAGCTGAGCCATCATGTACTTAAATGAAGCTGCTTATAAAAGTTTGATGACACCTGCTAATTACAGACAAGTCCCTTGGTTCTGCATACAGTAGTTGTCTTCTGGTCTCTGGTTTTCTTGCTGGTGGAGAAACATTTTGACAATGCATTTTGTATTGATTGGTGTTTTTGCCCCTATCAGCCTGAACCTGAGCCGGAACCAGAACCGGAACCTGAACCAGAGGAAGAACCTACAGACTTCTATGAGAATGTTGAAATGCCTGACACTCAGCCGGACTCCACTTACGATATGCCAGAGGAACAGCTACCAGAGGAAAAGGCGAGTTATGAAGCAGTAGATGATGTACCAGCAGAGAGGGAAGCTGAACCTGCAGCCTATGATGACAATCTGTATGACAATATGGGCATGGATACAGCACCTGGACAGGTATGTGATGCATGCAGACTACAGCAGAGTCTGTCCTGAAGTAATTGTGCCATCAGTCTGTTTAAACTGTACATGTATTGAAAGACTTACCCTAGTATAGTTAGAATCTAAAATCTTTTGGAATTCCGAGATATGGCACATGGTCAAAATGACCATTCTTTCCACCGATTGGCCTAACTCATGGTTGGAGAACA